ATGCAAATTAAAACAATACTGAGATTTCATCTTACCCCAGAAACAATGTTCTAAATTACTAAATTTATTCTTAGTTTTGGCTTTAGTAAATTTTGTGCTTTCTCCCCAGTGGTAATCCACATTGTTTACAAGAAGAGATGACCCCTAAGCATTTGCTTAGTATACAATTCTGGAGGAACTAAGCTTGCTTCACAGAAATACTGGCTTTATTTAATTTATTTAAGCAGTATGTTTCTTAATTCAAGTCTAGTGTACATACTAGATTTGTTTTGGTCTTATTGGCTTGTTTTATGATTGCTTGTAGGCTTTGTAACTGTCGAAGTTCTGTTTTAGGATACTGACTACAAAATAAGACAGGATTAAATTTGACAACGGACTTAGATAACAGCCTAAAAGTGACTTTTTCTAAATCCCTGACATTGCTCAAATTTGGCCAGAAGGACTTATGACACTGACTTCAATCCTTTATCTCATCCCTTCTAACATGGGACATTTTCTAACTGACTATCACTGAGGAAAGCTTTATCAGCAACTGAAGGACAAACCTGCAAATGGTTAATTGGTAATGCCTTCCAAAAAGAAAGAAAATGCATTTGGAGACAAGGAGAGAAGATGGGAACATCTAAGAGTCACCTTTGTGTGACTTTCTCAAGGGCTGCAGAAGTTATGAAAAAGGATTCTTATGCATGATTGCCTAAAAGCAAAAAAAGCCCTTCTAGCAGTGTAATGGTTAGATATCCCCTGACTTTGGCCTTCTTTTGTATCTGAATTTAAAACTTTTAGGGACACTTTCAAGCATCAACTTCCCTTTGCTTGTGCTCCAGCTACAGTTGATGGAATCTATGTGCCAATCTAAGATGAAACCATCAGCCAGATTATGTGGCACATAAAGGCCCTCAAGATTGAGGACTAAAGTAAGGAAAGGAGAATTGTAAGTGGCACTGTAACAAGGATTTTTTAAATTAGACTTTTCTCTTTTAGAGATAAACTTCTCCAAACTTCCTCCTGCTGAGCACATAGCCGCTGAGCACATAGCCAACACCCCTTCCCTGAGCCCCCAAACAGTGACATAATATGCAGGTGCCAGCCCCAGGTAGCCAGGGGTCTGGTTTCATTTCCACAAGAAAGAGGCAATGAGCTGGAGATGTCTAGAAGGGAAGAAGCTAGTGTGGAGATCTGCATTATCTCTCTGCACTCTCTCCACCCACTGTTTCTTACTATACCAGGCTCTTCTCCACCTGTGTGCAGGGAGATGGTGATTTGAGGCAAATAGTGTCCCTCCCTCTCCTCAGAGATAGATTTAAATCCTTTTCTCCTTTTTACCAAGTTTATATGACCTCCTTTGGTGAGCAAACAAGCCTAATGAACCTAAGTGGCCGGCAGCAACCTGATTTCACCACCACTTGAGATAGTAGCCAGTATTGTCTCCTTGTTTTTCAGGTAGAGAATAAGAAGTAAAATGTACTAGGGAACTCCTGTATTGAGTCAAATACTCAAGGTCATGAAGTTTATAAGTCTCTGGAGTGTTGGAAGTTACTGATTCCGATTGACTTTTTTTTTTCTGGTACCAGGGATAGAACTCAGGACCATGTGCTTTCTAGGTAGGCATAGTGCCATTGAGCTACATCCCTGCCCCCCACATTGACATATTATTGGCATCTTGTCATCAGACCCCTATCGTTCCTCTGGTTGTCACAATAATACCCTTTTTAGAGGAAGGCTCTGGCTTATATTACTTAGTGTTCAGTAGAGGCACACAATCAATATAAAATAGAGGCATAGAGTGGTACCTTGATTCATGAACTTAATTTGTTCTACAGTTTTGGAAAAGATGGCCACATTTGTGTTTGTGTGGGAAAGATGGCCATGGTCATATTTCTGACCTGATGCAGAGTTTTCAAACTAAAACGAAACTGTGAACTGTGCCAAATGCTTCTGTTTGGAAACAAAACATTTGTAAACTGAGACATTACTGTAGTTCTACAAGGGATTTATTAGGAGACCTACAGGATTAGAAGGAGAGGAATCCCAATGGCCATCTTCAGAATCATAGTGGAAGAATCCAGACATCTGTATGGTGAAAAGCCATAGGATTCAGCTCCAGTTTAAGGATGAAGCCTGGAAGCTCACTGCACAGTTACCAGTGTGAATCTGAGTTAGAAAGCAAAACAATCTGCATTGGGAGGCTGAAGGGTCTGCCCTAGAAGTCTGAAGGGATTAGATACAAACATCTTAAAGCAATCGCAAAGGCTGGGGCTCTTCTGATGAAAAAAGGGAAGACTTCCTTCTTCATTTCCTTTTTATTCTATTCAGGCTTCAAGCCTATTGATTGGTGCCACTCACATCCCAGGTGGAGCTTTCCTCCTCAGTTGGTTTCCCACATGTCAGTCTTCCACAGAGACATCCAGAGCTATACTAATCTGCTAGGCAGTTCTTACACAAGTCAAGTTAACCTATCCCAATGGTTAACTTAACTTGACCCAGCTGAAGTGCTGGGTTTAGTTGTCTTGTCTCTTTAGTCTCCTGGGTCTGGGACATTGACTGTTTCTGATACTAGAAATCAGTTACATGCAAGGAATGAATTATTTCTATATCTAGTTTTTCTGCAATTTCTTCATGATTTTGTTCAGAGCTGCTCCCTTGGCAGGAATGCCACAGAAATGGCAGTTTGTTCTTTTTTGTTCTACCAGATGCATTATAGTTGCTTTATAACACTTCTGAAAATGTTCTGTCTGATTCCTTGATTCAAGAAGATGTCTGCCAGGTCTCTCCACAGTAAAATTCTAATAGTGCTTCTCTAAATCTCTGTAAATATATTTATCAAGCTTTATTTTCATACTTCCTTATGCTTTTTATTATTTACTTCAGTTGGGTTTACATGAATCAAGTGATATCTTAGTAGATCACTGGAGGTCCATTGTGTGGGGTTTGGTGTCCTTTCAATAAGTCACCTTCATTGTTGTTTTTCCTTAGTTTTGACAAAATAAGTATTCCAGGATCCTCTTGTTCTTTCCTAGCTTTAGCCCTAAAATCAGCCATTTTTCTGCAGACTCCTGGTGGTCAGAGTGCAAAACAGTATTCATAATCCAAGCTCTGGTCATGTACTTTGTTTATTTTTATGAAAATATCATTATCACCTTGAGTTTTAGTGCAGAAAAGTAGGGAATACAGGTTTCTATGTCCAAACATACACATTTTTACATCTATGTCTCTGTGTGTATGTATATATGTATCTACCATCTATCTGTCTGTCATCTTTCTAGCTATCTGAAAATCATGCATTTATGGTGATAATTCCCATTCTATTCAGACTCAATAGGTTTCACTCTCATTTTCTCCTTCTCCCTTCTCTAAATTAGTGACTCATTTTGTCAACAATGAGAAATCTGGATTTCATTATTCTCCATATACTTTTTTTTTTGGTACAAGGGATTGAACTTGGGTCCTTGTACTTGCAGAGCAGGCAGAAAAACCACTGAGCTAAATCCCAGGCCCCTCATATATTTCATATACTTATTTTTTTGATCCATCTCCCTTTAATTGGCTGACATCCATGCATTCATTTTCCAACCATAGATATCCCTCTCAACTTACCTCAGTATTCAAGACTCTGTAGGCAATAGATGCTCATGGAAGGCCACATCTTTGCATAGACCCCATGTCACCTGACTGTGGATCCCACACTCAGGACAGGCTACCCAGGCCATATAGATGCCTTCCCATTCTACTTGATTTGTGCCTTGGAGTCACCATGACTTCCTCATCTATACCAACATGTAGTTCTCATGTTGCTGTGACACATCCAGTGGTTTTAAAACTGAGTTATCAAAGAAGGAAATGTGAAGGTGGGTTAAAAAAAATCTGAAAAGAAAGTGGAGGAAGGGGCAGAAAAGGAAATGGGAAAGTTTTTTACGTCTTCCCACACCAGGTGAATCTAATTTGTACTTTCTGCACTGTTACAGAAAAAGCTGACAAATCATGCATATTTTGTTCAATGTTCTATTAGAACCAGAGAGAACAATTCTATATATCTGGTTGATATAGTCATCTTCTTTATATTACAGAGCTGATAATAATCTGTACAGAGAGTGTATAAGTTCAGTGGAGGTTCAGAATCCCTAATCACTCAAATCATAGATTAAGCCCATCTTCATTTCTGAATTCTTTGTATTGTTAAGGAAAAATATTAAGCTTATTTATTTATTATTAAAAAGAAAGCATATTAATTGTTTTATTTTTTAAATGTGCACAGCTTTATGGAGTACATTATAGTAATTCAATACATGTATATGATGTGTTTTAATCAAATCAGAATATTTCCAATTTTTGTGTTTTGGAAATTTTGTGCACTTCTAGTCATAAGAATAAAGAATGTTTATGTCTCTTTTTATTCTTTTGTGAATAAAAATTCTGCTATGCATTGCCACTGCCCTCTTTCATAGAGGCAGTTGCCACCTATATGCACTTTATTTTTAGAGCTTTCCCATCTTATAGTAATATTACAATGTTGCAAAACTTGCTATAATGACTGTAGTCTTTATCTTTTTGAATATCAGTAAAAGGTAAGAGGATGTTTTTGAATATCAGTAAAAGATGGATCTTTTTTGCAACCTTGCAAAGCAAAATGAGACTAGACTGTCCTTTTCATATTCATACAGCTTAGCTTTTGGTGAAATCATAATTTGTTAGCCTGTCTTTTAACCAATGAACTGGAGTAGAGAACAGAGGTAAAATTTTTGTTTTAATTTAATACAGCTAGATATTAATAAAGAAAATATAAAAGCTGTTCTATAAAAATAATTTTTCATAACAAAAATTACTAAAGAATAACAATGGTAAATACATTGTGTATCATGATCTCAAAAGAATATATTT